ACGTTTCTGCGATCTCTGATCTATTTCGGGAACCGAGTTACCGACCTTTATGGGAAGCACCGCCCATCTCAAGTACACCCGCCCATTTCGGGTGTGTCTCCTCCATTTCCTCTGCCAACCCAATGCTAATCTTATTCCACTTTTTCCCGTCTCCGAGGTGCTTTGTAGCCAAATTATGGCTTTTTTCAGTGACACGGGAAGCGCCGCCCATCTCAAGTACGCCCCGCCCATCTCGGGTGTGTCTCCTCTGTTTGGTCGGTCAGCCCTTTGTTAACTTTACTGCACTGTTCCCTCATCTGGGGACTGCTCTGGAACCGAGTTATGACTTTTTTCAGTGACATAACTTTCGACGCACGCCCCGCCCACTGTGGGCGGGGCTTACCATGGGTCATGGGTGCTATTTAGGTTTTGTCCCATACCCACCATGACCCGGCCCCTAAGCCCAACCAGCAAGATTCGACGTGCAACCGGCAAGAGCACAGGAAATCACCCTACGACGCTCCAGGCAACGCTATGTACACACGCAATTCCGCTTGTAAGCCGTTGTCTTGCAGAGTGAAAGTAATCGTGGTTGCAATGGTTGCAATAATCACGCGTCTCTAGCTTCTTTATCTCGCCGTTTCGAGTGACGAAAGTGGTATATTCTCTGCGAATGCGGACAACGATGCCAAATGCACGGCGACATTTCGCGGACCAGTTGGTCGCAGAAACTTTCTGTAATATCGGCGCTGCACCTTGAATACAGCTCAGGCGGAGTCGAAAGACTGCACTATCATTATCCTTTAGCCGTGTTCCCGCATACTTCTGAGCGAGAAAGTGACATGCCAGCGTAGCTGCGGACCCATTCACCTCGTACATGGCAAACCTCCTCGGAAGCGGCGTACAATTTTTCTCTGATAAATTCGGCACCTCATGTGTATCACAACTTGTTCATCAGCCTCAAGCATTACTCCTGAATGCGGGTAATCTCTAGGAAACCATACTTACCATGTCCTGACTTAGCCTGTGGCCGCTTTCGTGCAATCGTATATTAATTATGTAAATGGTATAAGAAATAAGTATTATGCTGACCACTTCGTACACTAACGGAAATATGGATACTATGATTCGCGTCGTCTAAATCATTGCATTAATCACCAATTTTTAATCCTTACAGTAAACCATGTGATCAGTACAGGGGTAGGGCGGCTACGTCCAACGAGAGTCCATGTTCCGTCAGGATTTGGGTTGTAGATGTAAGATACGATCAAAATCTCGATATGAACCAAAATCGAGAATACGATATCAATTACGAGCAAAATGCACACGTTGCGTGTTTTCCAGATCTGAAATGATGGCTGTCCGGTCTGTAGAGAATCCTGCAACTCTTGGAGCTTCCCCTCATTCGTTAAAGGGGAGCTGTAGATTACCAGAACTCACTTGTTGTTGTTGATATGGAAAGCAAACAGCAGTGAATCTGTTCAGTGTCATCAGTAAACAACCAATGATGTGCGTAAAAAAGTTGATACCAGTCATTGCCATCGCCAGACGAGTCAGTGGCTCCCACGCTGGTCCTGTAAGCAAAATATTACTCGCAGAAATCACCTATTAGAGTCATTTTGTTCAATCGGCTGGTTTCAGGCCTCATTATT